TACACTCAGTGTGTGTCCCACACAGTCACTGCATACTCCAAAGATAGGGTATGCCATGGATTTCACTTCTTCTGGGCAGCTCCACATATTCCGCCTGATGACTCCGAGAAATTTCTGGGTTTTGGCTGCAGCAAGCTGTGTTCGATGTGAGTTGCTCCCCACAAAAGGTGTAGGATCTCTTTGGAGGATTCCGGTAAGCAAATGTGATAGTAAAGCACTTCGATGGATTAAAGTTCATGAGCCATTCATTCTGCCATGATTCGAGCAACTTGAAATTGTTTTGTAGAGTTGAGGTGTCCTTGTCAGGTGATATTTGTTGGTATACTAGGCAATCGTCAGCGAATAGTCTCACTTGTGAAGTCAACTTGCTCGGCAGGTAAAGTCAGCAGTATAGTGGTCCGAGCACTGCTCCTTGCGGAACTCTTGATGTGGCAGAAGTCCGAGAGCCCATTGAGGTTTAATTAGAATATCGCGCACAAAAGGTTTGATGGTGGCAGCGAGTAGGTGGGGGTGTCCAACCGTCAAAACCGTCACTCTTAAGTGTCACACCCCGTGCGTTTCGGAGGGGGCACCACCTAAATACCCCCCCCCCAAAAATTCTTTTAATTAGATTATCGCGCACAAGCACGGTTCCAAAGCGAAAAGATAGTTTTCGAATAATTTATCAATAACCAATAACTTAAGGATGAGAAATCCCGTGTGCATCCATGTTTAAAAATGGCCTAATTAGCACTAATTATTTACTGTTAATTAAACTTTTGAGCACAAGAGCGAAACCTTCACTATAAGCTGCTTGTGACTATAATGCAAGACCCACAACTTAAGAATAGCTTTTCCCGTGCATTTTGTGCTTAAGAACGAGTTAAAGTTCAATAATTAGCCGCCTTCTAAGGTGCTTTTTGTTTTGTGTGTTTAAACATTGAGCACAACGATCATTCCAACACCAAACGGTAGTGTACGAGTAAGCGTTTGCAGAATGTCAAGTTAAGAATAAAAAAAACTCGTGCAAACTCTGCGAACGGCTTTATTTACCGCGAAATAACGCAAAACCGTAAAGCCCGGTTCATACTTCTAAACCCCCTGCAGAAACACTGCCACTTCCTGATCTCACGGTATTGTAGAGGTTCCGATTTATGCATAATTATGTATAGGCCTCATTAGTACTTTTTTGGTATCAATCATTTAATTCATAAACAAATAATTATACATATATAGGTTTTCCCCTTCCTCCACTTAAAAGTACACATTCATAACAGTCCCATGGTCTATTTCGATCAAAATCAAATAATGTCTTGAATCAAGAATCACTCTATACCTATAGGCCCTATATGAACCATTATACACATGAATGTATTGATATGATAATATATGAAATATTGCGGTGTTTTTTTTTACTTTCTTTTTTAAGAATCTGTGTGCCTTTGGTTGGAAAAGTTTAACACTCCATGGACAGCTGTAAAAAATGTTTTACTTTAATTAAACATGCGTATGACTTCCGTTAGTTGGGATCTATGTTTTCCGGATGAGTGGAAAAACATGCCCGTTTAGAACAGCGCTTCTTTAGTGTGTCCAATTCAAGAGCAGTTTTTAAAGGGGAAAAATCATCGATCCCGGCCATTTTGTATTATCCTTTTTTATGCCGAAAAGGGCTCGCATCAAACTGGGGAGAAAATCCAAATGGCCCTTAGGATCCCCGGCATACTAAAGTGTTCGCCATATCATACATCCTAAATCTTTTGCTTGCTTTCAAGCCTTCTTCGTAATGTATCTCTCTTTAATAATTCAGGCTCCGCCATGAGTGAGTCTGCTTTACAGTCCATTCATGTATCAGGTAGGCTTTGATACATCGTCAAAAAATCTAAATACCATGAGAATTGGCTAACTGGGCCTTATTAACGCGGACATTTATTTCTTAATAACGTGATAGGTTGCATTATTGCATAATTCGCCAAATCATGACTATCTCGAATATTTGGTCGGGCATAATATTAATGCATAATATCGTATATATTACACTATGTTACATTGCAGTGGTTTTGCAATGCAGTACGTGGGTAGCGATGCTTTGGTGTGCATTGCGTAATACTTTTTAAGCCGTGCAGAAATCGGCAATTAACTTGCCGTTCTTAAGTGAATTTTGCACGGGATTTTTTATTCGTAAGTTGAAATTCTGCAAAAGCAGACTCATTCATGACTGTTTGGTGTTGGAATGATCGTTCTAATGAAATTAGACATAAAAAAAAAAATAGGCGGTGTCCCCTCCCAGACGCACGGGTATGACACTTAAGAATTGCGGTTTTGAAGGTTGGACACCCCACCTACTCGCTGCCGCCATTAAACCTTTTGTGAGAGACCTCAATGGGCTCTCGGATTATATGGGTAAAATACGAACAAGGAAATATTTGAGAGGATTTCCGACCAAGAGGATAACACAGAAACGGCCACTATTAAGAGCAGGAATTTGAAATCCCCTAACAGATGCAAAATGCTTTGAATGTTGTAATTCCAGGCCATTATAGCAAAAGGGATTTGATTTCGCATCAACGCTGTTTCTTTCAACGGCCTCATAATGTACAATCTCCGTCAAAGTGGGATGCAGAACAATGACTGAGGTGTATAATGCCAACCTTTGGAAATTGCCCAACTATAGGCCTATTGGATTGAAAACAAAACTATTGCCTGTTGCAGCCGATTTTTGTTTTTTACGCCATTTGCCCCTTACTGTTTAAAAATATGGCCAACTCCCAGCAATGGCGAAATTCTTGAATTATTTTATTTTCACTTGGGTGAGCAGCTCGCACGAATTACTAATTTGTTTTCGCATTGCAACTTAACTGTTAATATGATAGACATAGATTATATACATTTTGAGGTACATACCTTATTTGTCGTTTCACTCGAGTCGCGTCAAAATTGAAACTTAAATGAAACTGAAAGTCGAACAAAAGCAAAATTAACTGCTCCGTGCATGCGTGACGGACGTTATGTAGTCTCCCGTCGCCTAGATATAATCACGAGCACTCCGGTTTTCTTCGACCAATTAGGTTATGCGGCGCGCGTGAACATGGGCGCTCTTGCACTCTGGAACTTTTCTTCGACCAATAAGGTTTCACGGCGCGCGTGCACATTTAGCGCGCGACACTCCTTGGAACAAATCCCACTTTTTTTGCCGCCAATATTGTTTTTTGGGGTGACGACCGCTGTATGTAATACACAAGACTTCTACTGTCGTAAAAACGTGGGGTTTTGGGGGTTTTTTTGGTTGAGGTTTTTTGGGGGAGGCGGGATATGGGATGAGTTTTTGGGTAGGGGATAAAATGGGCGTCTTTCAGACGTCGCTTTTTGGTCACGGCCGCTGTAGTAGAACGACGTTTTATAAAGACGTCGTGTTAGTTGGGTTTTTATGGCAGGTGGGAAAAAGACCTCTTCAAGACGTCGTTTCTTGGTCACAGCCACCGTAGTAGATGAGACTAAATAACGACCGTAAAACGACGTCTTAAAGACGTCGTGTTTTTCTCAGTGTTTTGGTAGGAGGAAATGAGTTTTTTTCGGGTCGAGAAAAAGACGTCTTCAAGACGTCGTTTCTTGGTCACGGCCACTGTAGTAGATGAGACTAAACAACGACCGTAAAACGACGTCTTAAAGACGTCGTGTTTTTCTCAGTGTTTCGGTAGGAGGAAATATTTTTTTCCGGGTCGAAAAAAAGTCGTCTTTAAGACGTCGTTTCTTGGTCACGGCCACTGTAATAGATGAGACTAAATAACGACCGTAGAACGACGTCTTAAAGACGTCGTGTTTTTCTCAGTGTTTTGGTAGGAGGAAATGGGGTTTTTTCGGGTCGAGAAAAAGACGTCTTCAAGACGTCGTTTCTTGGTAACGGTCACTGTAGTAGATGAGACTAAATAACGACCGTAAAACGACGTCTTAAAGACGTCATGTTTTTCTCAGTGTTTTGGCAGGAGGGAATGTTTTTTCGGGTCGAGAAAAAGACGTCTTTAAGACGTCGTTTATTGGTCAAGGCCACTGTAGTATAAATGACACCAAATAACGACCGTTAAACGACGTCTTAAAGACGTCGTGTGATTTTTTTGTCATTCGGCGGGTGGGGAGGATTGCTCGGGTGGGTAAAAAGACGTCTTTAAGACGTCGTTTTTTGGTCACGACCGCTTTAGTACACACGACCAAAAAACGACCAGAAAACGACGTCAATAAGACGTCGTGTGCCCACTGGGTCTATGGGTGAGCTGGCCAAATGCAGAAAAGAAAAGAAAAGTTGAAATTATCGGAATCGTTCTTTTGCCGGCGCAGCCCCCCACTTTTTAGCGTCATGACCCGCCCCTAAAAGGGTCAGACAAAATGGCATTAAATGGTTTTGAACTTGTTGAAGTACCGCCTAGGCTATATGTGTTAGGAGAGAGTGTACCCAAAAATGCATATAGAGTCCGCCCCACTAGAGCACATAGGAAAGGGCGCGCAGTACGTGACGGTTGTTGCAACTATAGGCTTAGGCCTTGTACTAGTACTTTTTTTCCCCGGTCGTCAGAGAGCATTGCCATAAAAAAAATGTTGATATTTACCCAACTGCATGAAGACCATGATTTTGGAAATTTCGGAGTTGTGAAGTGAAGCTTGAGGAAACTGAAGATCGGAAGCCTGCGTCTCCATCTTGTCTCTCAAAATTTCTGACATCTTCATGATTTCCTTCCGACGCGGATACAGCCAATGGTGTTGTATTTACACCGAAGCGGCGGGTAAGAAATTTGAGAGCGCCTGCCACGTGCTTCTGGAAAAGATGTAAACGAGCCGACCGTCGCATCAGCAGGGCTGCATCACCATTCCTTGCAATTGGCATAAAATAATCATATGGCCATTGCAAATTGACATGAATTGGATATTTGTACATTCCACACGCACAAAGATGGAAATGTGGTCCACATTGTAATGTTTTGTAAAAGTGGATACACACAACAAAACGTGTGAACCGCGGCCCGCTGGTCCTGTCAAAAGCGCCATAACTTGGGGCGCCTCACGCGGATAGAGCGCCCCCAAGAGTCTACCGGCATTCAAGAGTTACCGTACCGACCGCGCAGCCCCCACCGTAAATAAACGTTAGTTTGACCGGTGAGCAAGCGGGCAAGAATTGGTAGGTAAATGATTAACTATAGCTGGAGTTACCTCAGCCCAAAATGTTATCATTGGGTTGTTGTTTGTGTTATGTTATGATAAAATCTGAGGGCTGAGGTAACTCTAGACCCGTGAACGTGACGTTGTATACAACGCCACGTTCTTGTTTCATTTCGACATGTTCGACTTCGAACCTGGCGAAATCGATCCGACATACATGGGTGTTGAGTACTCGCCTAGAAATCTAAATTTGCCCGTCCGATTGTTTCGGCTGTGTAATTTCGACGAAATTTGCCCATCAGTAAAGACCCATACAAACGTGTAGAAATTAGATTTTAACCTGACCCTGACAAATAACCCCGGACGCGTCTGAGTCGCTTGGACAGATTGACGGCTGTTTCATGTCGCAACCCCGAAAAAAAAAACCCCGCAGACGATTGGCTGCTCAGCTCATCTCGTGTACAGTACGTGTGTGCACACACACGCGGGCGCACGTGCGACCGCGTGCGGTGCGGTGAGAGAGGAAAGGACTTAAAACTTGTCTAAAACGATGTCTGTTTTAGCTGCGACAGTAAACAGCCGTCGAATCATACGAAAATAAAACGTAATGCGCATGCGTCAGTTGGGAGAAAATGGCAGCTAGCAGTAGCGAACGGACTTCATGAACCGGGGCCAGAATTTTCCTCAATTTTCGTCAAATGCAAGTTTTGACGTACAAATAGAATTCAAGACAGCTTCATATGTGAGTACTTATTTTATGGGCAAAATAACGTCTAGTGTGTGTAACGGAGGGAGTCAGAGGGACACGTTCGCCAGGTTCGAAATGACATAAGAACGTGGCGTAGTTTACAAGCCACGTTCACGGGTCTAAGGTAACTCCAGCATAGCATTAGCATTATAGTTGTCCCGAGTCGAGTTGTTTCAACGGTCGACTTGTCCCGAGTCGAGTTGTCTCAACGGTCGACTTGTCTGACATTCGGGGGTCAGACAACTCGACCGTTAAGACAACTTGACTTGGGACAGCTCGACCTTTGACTTGAGACAACTCGACCGTTGAGACAACTCAACCGTTGAGACAACTCAACCGTTGAGACAACTCAACCGTATGTGCGTTAAATGGAATGACAAGTCGTCCATTGAGACAAATCTCCTGTTGAGACAAATCTAGGCCTGCTCGCAATTTTTCGTGGAATATTCATAGTTAGTAGGCCCTATCTATCATCGTGTTCGGGTTTGATCATTAGGTAGGGGTTGCTTGACGGGATACAATGGGGTTGGCTCGGCTGGGACTCCCATTTTTTGCTGGGGTTTTCCAAGCTTTTTTACTTGTCTCAACGGTCGAGTTGTCTCAATGGTCGAGTTGTCTCAACGGACGAGCTGTCTCGGGTCGAGTTGTCCCAATGGTCGATTTGTCTGACATTCCTAGATAATTAGCCAAAAGAGGGTACATATGCACAGCTGTTTGTGCATGTGAGATTTACATTTGTAAACTCAGTGAAGTGCTGTAGTCCGAACTCGAGCCTGGACTCCAGTCATGCCAGTCCCGATTTTCAAGGACTCGGACTCGGATAGTGGGGACTCGGACTCGAACAATGAAGACTTGACTATTTCGAGGACTTGGCCCGAGGTCCAGAAAAAAAAAACACAGTGAGGTCATGTTGTGCATCTCTCTTTAGCAGACCATGGAGGTAGGAATCGATAGGACTGATGACATCAAACGCAGGACTGGAGTCCGGGCACGAGTCCAAACTCAAGTTCGGACAACGTAAAAAAAATCCTGGATGTTGCTATTAAGCATGTTACGGGTCTAGGAAAACTCATATGAGTACCTATACTGTTAAAAAAGATTTTTAGCATGCATTGCTGTGTGGGGCACAATGCAGAGAAAGTCCAGATTTGTGACACATTTTATGGGTTGGGGAAACCCACAAAATAAGGCACACAAAGAAATCACTTTATACCGTTTATACCAATCACGGATGTGCACTAATCATCGAATGATCTGCGTTAATTTTTACAGTGATGGCAAAGGGTGAGAAAAAAGGTAAGCCGGCAACCAAGAGATTGAAGACTGCAGATGAGGGTTCATCATCATCGTCATCATCACTGGCAACATCTCCTCCATCTAAGAAACTGAAAACTGAAAATGGAACATCAGATGATTCAGAGCAAGAGGTAAGTCTTGCTGCATTGATTAAAAAAAAATTGTTTGTACTGTGGACTTGTGTTAAGTCACGGTACCCAAGTAAGGCCCCCCCCCCCCCAAGTCTCCGGTATCTGGTATGCGCACGCGTCGCCGTAGCCATGCGCGTCGGCAAAATGAAAAATTATTTTTTTCAATGTAAGATGGTGTCTCAAAACCGCCAAACTCACTGGTTTGACTGGAATTCTGCTGCTGCGCAATTTCAACGTGTTTTTAGATGGGGTTATGCTCGAGAATAAGCTTTATGTGGCCTCTCTGGACTTCCATATGTTTGCACTAAATTTAGTCGGGCACCATTTGCGGTCATCAGCCGACATTTGAAGAAAAAAAAAACGGTAAAAAAAAAAAGCTGCGTCGCCGCACCACTTTTGGGGCAAGCTCCATACCAGAAACCGGAGACTTCTTTGGGGGCCTTAAGCCTAGTTTTCATATCGAGGTAAGAAATACAGAGAGCAACGCAACAATTGACCAAAACACAGACATACAAAAATCTTGCAGACAATCTGCAAATTCTTTTGCGGTACCTCAAGGACTGGGTGTAGCATTGTGCCGCCCTGCAGGGTTTTCGCCAACGAATTACTGGTGAAATCCAAGCCCTCAGAAGAACACGGATGGTCCGCAGAGCTATTGCAGACAAGAGAACACAGGCCACAACTATGCATTGATCTGAATGACAGACAGGGGGAAGGTCGAGCAGCAAGACAGTGAAAATGTGAACCATATCTGTAATTCTGTTTCAAGTTCAGTGAATGTAATTCCATTTAATTGATGTCCTGTTCTGTAATTCCATTTATTTCCTTCATTGTCCAGAGGCCCATTGTTGCCATTGTGTTCATAGCAAAAGGCCTATTCTGAACATTGTGTTGGTAGTGTTTTGGGTAGTCACAAAGAAAGACATGCATCCTTTTCATGCATGGCTGAATATCAGTGAAACTTTTACTGACTGTGGTCAATAACCAGACCGAATGATGACTGAAGAGAAAAACTGGTAACCTTTCCCGTTTTTGTGTGCGACAACAAATTATCCAAAGGCACTTTTTTACTCGCCCTGTATTACATGTACATGCAACTACATGGTGTTTTAACCTCAATTTTTACAAAATCCACAAAATTCATCCTGGTGCATTTTGAAGTTTTTTGGGACTGCAAAAGTGTGCTGTCTGAAGTTGATGTCTCGTGAAAGTGAGTTTTCTTTAAAATTTCGATTTTTAAAACTGATTGTAGAAGAATTTAGTTTCAACAGGTGAAATCTGCCCCCTCTGAAGCTCAGGGCATCATGGAGAAACTTGCGGCTCTCCGTCTGCGTACAGCAGCTTCAGTGGCAGCTTTCAAGTTCAACAAGAAGCGGGTGCGAGTTTTGTCGCAAGTCAAGGACGTACCGGAGGGCTGTCACGGGATCGTTTATTGGATGTCCAGAGATCAACGAGTGCAAGGTCAGGATTGAATCATGTTATTGTCTGAAATAAGGACATCTTTAACCCTAACCCCTTGGGTTTATTTACTAGAAAGTATCCTGAATCTGCCAAAATCCATCCATTTTGCCATGCAAAAAAATGTTGGTGGCCAGTGAGTCCATCAGAATCCACCAGTTAGCCGGGAGTAAATCTGTTGAGATCCTGAATCCATCAAAGTCCCCCAACAGCTCAATATGGAGGTATCCTGAATCCATCAAAATCCTGCAGTACCGCTAGGCTTCATGTCCTGAATCCATCAAAATCCCCAAACTTTTTCAATATGGAGGTATCCTGAATCCGCCGAATTCCCCCTAAACAGGGGTGTGGATTTTGAGGGTTAAAGGAAAAGTCAAAGGAAAAGTTTTTTGATTTAATACAAGAACATTTTAATTTACCTTCATTGAGCTTTTCGTATCTCTGTTTTGTATTGCATTTGTACTCGTGTCTGTCACATCAAAAATCAAAACCCTAAGTACGTAGATGCAGTTCAATCATCTGAGGGAGATAATTAAAAATCCCTGATGTGATACTGTTATTTCAGAACTAAATAAAAAAAAATTCTTGAATGTTTTGAAATTATGGACACCCCCAAAAACAGGCTGTACAAGAATGTACTCGTACTTAAACCTTAATAAAATTTCTAAATAAACTTCGCTTACTTGAGGCCTACATGTGGATGAGATTGAACCCAATTAAAAGTTGAAAGTGAAAAGAATCTGCGATTTTTTTCTACAAATCATAGGAAACCAATGAGTGTTACTTATTTGAACTCAACTAAAGAAGTCAAAATGTTGAGTTCTTGATACCTTACACTTGGTTTGAACTTTTTACTGGTAGCACATCAACTTTAACTTGGGTGCAACTTCAACTATAACTCTGATGCAACTTCAACTATAACTCTGGTGAAAGCTTTCACTTACATTTTCAATTTTTGTTTATTCTCCATTTCCTTTTCCAGATAATTGGAGTATGTTGTATGCCCAGCGCCTTGCCATGAAGCTGGCAGTACCGCTCCGTGTCTGCTTCTGTCTACAGCCCAGGTTCCTAGATGCAACTATTCGCCATTTTGCTTTCATGTTGAAGGGACTTGCCGAAGTTGAGCAGGTTTGTATGGTACTGAGAATTTAGATGTTGAGGTAATTATGCCAGAGTCACCTTTTGTTTGATAGTGGCCATGATTGTCCGCTTTGAACAGCGCACCCTATAGGAAGATGGTGTCAGAGATGAAGTTATGTTTATGTACAAGTACAGTAACAAGAAAGAGGGGTGAAAGATAACAAATGAATGCCTGTCAAAATTCATATGTACAGCTTGTAACTTGACCTGATTAACTTGTAAGTTGACCTAAGACTGAGTGACTTGTGATGACTTGTCTACAACTATCAAGTTTGCCAATCTCTTCACCCCGTGCCTATGCCCAATTCCAGCTGTATCCCCACCCCCACTGCCACACCCACCTCCATATCCACCCCACCCCCACCTTCATTCTTATCCCAACCCTCCTCCATCCCTACCCCACCCCATCCCTACCCCACCCCACCCCACCCCACCCCACACCACCCCAACCCCGCTCCCACCGCCACCACCATCCCCACCCCTAGACCCACCCCAACCCCTAGACCCACCGACACCCCTTTCCCCCTACAAGATCTACATGTATGTGAGACAGCTAGAGCAAAGCCATTAGAATTTTTACCCATTATCTTTAAGATATGAGTTGAAAGATTTGATAGACAGTGAAACTCAAGTTTGGTTAAAAAACTTCAAATCTTTAAGAAAAATGAAAAAGAGTTTGTTCTTAAAGAAATGTTTATGTTGATTGATATTTGATTTTTTTTTAGGAACTTAAAGAGCTGGACATACCGTTCCATCTTCTGATTGGTGAAGCCAAGGATGTGCTGCCTAACTTTGTGAAAGATCACAACATTGGCGGCCTGGTAACGGACTTCTCCCCACTCAGGGTTCCGTCAAAGTGGGTCAAGGAAGCCACGGAGAGTTTGCCAGACATTCCCGTGTGCCAGGTAATAACTGCATATAGACTCGCGCACAAGCACCCCTCAACAGTCACGAGAATGTTTGGAAGAATGCCGTGGTCCAGTGTTTACGGTATTTGATGTATGATGGTGCGTGGGTTCAAACCCTGCCAAGAACATGGTGTTTGTGCGCTTGGGCAAGACACTTAACTACAATTGCCTCTCTCCACCCAGGAGTATAAATGGGTACCTGTGAGGGTCGAGGACCGATTGAGCGCTGATATCGGCTGCCGCATGGTCCCACGGCCTGATGAACGGGCTAATAATTGTAAAGCGCTTTGAGATTGTTGATACGATGGAAAGCGCTATATAGTACAATTATTATTATTTAACACATTGCCCCTTGCATTATATTTCAATTGATGACAACAAATCTTGCTCGATAAACCTCACTCCCAACCCGCCCCAATGTTTGAAAAAAAATTGGTTTCAAAAATTCCGTCTTTATTAATCAGAGTGTTTTGATAAACTATGATTGAAAAATTATAGCCGTGGCCTCGTGGTCTGGAGCATTAAATTCGTGGTCTGACTCTATGGGTAATTCTGCAGGTTGTGGGTTCGAGTCCAGTCTGGGGTTATGGTGTGTGCGCCCTTGGGCAAGGCACTTTGTCACTCATTGCTTCTCCGTCCCCACCCAGGAGTAAATGGGTACATGTGAGGGCAGAGATGGTTATTGTGGTTGATTTTTAGCTGCCTTGCTCCAAAATGGCAGCCTTGAGCTCTATACTCCCAAGGGAGCTGAGATGGTATTTGGAATGTTTAATAGGCCCAATGATCAGGGGTAATATTAAAGCACTTAACTTTATAGTTATAAATATCATATAAGAACCCATTATTATTATTATCATTATTTTCCCACGCTGTTGCAGCCACAATGTCAACCAAATCATCAATCAGCTTTCTTTTGTTGCCAGAG